GAGCGCCTCCAAACGCATCAGTGCGTACCGCCTGAAGGACGGGCGTGGAAACTGCGCAACAACTTCTGTGTTAGCACGTGGCCAGCGTTGATGGAAACTGAGCAACAGCTTCCGCGGTGCGGGCGCAGGAGCTGAAAACTGCGTGAGAGCTTCTGTGGTGGCTGACGTGAGGCGACGGTTGCTAGTACCCCACGGTGGCAATAGGCCGGAGCGGCGCTTGGCTGCGAGGGCCGTTCGAGGCTGCTTGCAGCTTTAATTGAGTTTACATCTGTTGCTTCTGTATTTCCAGTTAGTTTGGTAAGAACAATGGACAGAATTTTGTATACATATGTTTTTTTTTTCAGCTTCTTTTAATCCATTTTATCAATTCTATTAGCATAATGTGTAGTACTTTTAATAACTAAATTTTTTTGCATCTACTTGATATTGTTGAATAAATGTTCTGATGCACAAGAATTATGACTATATGGTCCAAGTAATGAGTGTGGGTCAAAAGAAGGGAGGTCAGAAAAAAAAGAAACACTTGGAAACAATCAAAAAATAAAAATAATGAGTTGAAGACTCCAAAGAAGAGAAAGGATACTGCAAGGGAGACAAAGAGAAGTGTGTGCAGTCAAAAAAAAAAATGGGAAGACAGATTTAGAGAAGGGACAAGACAAGAAAATAGGAGGGTGCAGAGCAAATTCATTCTGAGAATAGATAACCTTGATGTTAAAAGCTACATCCGTTGGACATGTCTTTCTGTGACATATTGATGGCCCTTGAAAAAGAGTTGAGCTGATTTTATGCAGGGAGCAGTCATTAAACTCACTCCATCTCCCATCTCTCTCTAACTCCCCTCTTGTGAGTGTGTGCTGATTAAATGCAAAACTCTGGAGCAGGCTTTTAGAAAATATGGGAAGGAATTCAGACAGATTCATGCATGCAGATTCATGGAGGTCGTACTTTTTAATCTTATGTGTTTTCAGCGAACAATCAAATCCAAAAATAAAACAAAAAAACTTGCATTTTCAGCGGTCATGCACATCTAATAGAGGGTCTAAATTAATTTTATTGTGGCACAAACCTTGCCTTAAACCTAAACTCGGCTCCTATTTTACATTTAAAGGTCAACGGACAGAATCAGTGTAGTCCTGCAATGTTTGAATTTGTACCCAAGACCCCAGTGATATTTTTCCAGTATTGTGTGATGTAGTGACTGCTAAATTACTGGCCTGATGTGGTTCGGAAGTGCCTCCTGGGCAGTATAATTTTATCATTGCTACGGAAAACTCAGATGGAAGGTGCAGCTTGGACATTGTTGATACTTGTCACTTTCAGGTCAGGTAGCAGAACTCTAAAGGCCAATTCATGATGTCTATGCCCACAAGGGTCAGAGTGACCTAAATACTGTAATCTGTCCTATTTTGCAAGAGCTTTTACACAGACCAAGACTGGTAAACTTCAGAAAAGTGTGCAGTACAAAATTAACTTCAACATGTTAGAGAAACTAATCTAGTATTTATTTGACTTGATGTACAGTTACATGAATTAGAATATATGTTCCAATAAGGTTTGTTTGTCAGATTAAAAGTATCTATACAGGCAATAAACATACTTTTTAATGACACTATGTTGTATTAAAAATGCTTTTAATGTTCTGATATAATGGTCTAGCGTTAAGTTTTTATGAAGATGCAAGTGGAAAACGATAAATATCAAAAATAAACTTTAAAACAGTATTCTATGTGCAATGTGCTTTATTAAGTGAATTGGTTGACCTAAAAAGATATTTTTAACAGTATTCTAATTTATTGAAATTGTTCATAATAGATACTTGTTTTTAGGGAATTTAACTTTAAAATGTTTCATTTTCTTCAAATGACCACAACCAGAGCAGAACAGAATGCTTGCACTAATGTTAGGAGAAAGATTTTTTTTTGTCATAAAAGCATCTACATCCACCCTATGCTTGCTTTATTGTAGTCAGGTACAAAATACCTAATCCAACTAAGATAAAGCCACAATAAATTATATTTAAGGTACCAATTTGAATAGGATAGCCACTTAGTTTTTTTGTACATCGTCACACCGTTTGAACTATTGGCATTATACAATACAGCATTATTTTGCAAATAAGTCAAAAAACAAGGTTAAAGAATTTAATAATTCCTTTGCTAATGCCATAAAATTCATCCTTAAGCAGGGGATAAAATGTTTTGGAGGTTTTTACTTTTGTAGTAGTGCTAGTTCGACTTAGGGGGGAAAAATTGTATTTTTTAAACACAAGTAGCGCAAAGCTGTGACTGTTACTCTTCCAAGCCATTATGGAAACAATAGACTACTCTTAACTTTGTTAATCTGTCACGTCAATGGGGGTTCCCACTGTTCTCATGGAGCATGTAAATATGTGTGTTGAAGACGTAAATATGTACGGGAATATGACAACGTTAGTGATATAAGCACACTCAGCCATGACCTAAGATACACAGAGGATACTGTGGAGTACTGAGTTTGGCAAGGTAATATTTGTCGTTAAGTATGAGTTCATCAGGCAGAACCCCAGAGGCATGAGCACAGCCTCTGAAGGCATTATGTAAGCGTGAGTTTGGCTTAGTTACTCCCTTCCTCGTTTCCAGCAGGCCAATCTTTCTTCTGGTTTCTCTCGTAATAAGTGCAAGCTCTCGCTGTGAGGGGGAAGAAAGCAAGCTGGAGTGTGCTGTTTATGCACACAATGCAGCACTTGAAATGGAGAACTGTCACATCTGTGCACTTTTTCACCCACTGGGAAGCAGGCAGCAGCCCTGATCTTTGTTCTTCCATTTCTTCTAATTTACTCCTCTTCTTCTTTATAACACACAGGCGTACATTAGCGCTGCTGGAGAGCTACAGGTCACTCATCGTCCAGACCTTTCCAATTGGTGCCAGAGAGCTACAAAGTGTGGCCTCTCCAATCATTCTCAGCACCCATGGGCTGAAGTTGAGTTCAGCAGAGTGTGAAGGCTTGTGGGGCCTTTACTTTAGTTCCTTCATCTGTGAAGGTTATCTCTGAAAGGCTTTGGTTGCAAACCTACAAATATATCCCCTCTAGGTAATGTCTTATAGGAGACTTGGTTCTGGTGCCTCAGTGGGTAATCTCTTTAAGGGCCCTACTCCTGGAGAGAGTGAGTTTTTCACTGGGTACACTGTGAATATGTGAAAGACCCTGGCAACCATTTGATCTGAGTGCTGTGAGATACCCTGAGTCCTGTGGTGTCAAGCCCAGTATACAACCGTGGCACCTTTGTCCCAAGGCAAATCACGGCAGCTGGAATTCATCCCCTTACTACCCCACACTTCCAACCTCCACACTGTCAAAAAAAGAAAAAAAAAAGCATATACACACTCATGCACACGCAAACACACGCATGTATACATCTCTCATACACCGGGGGAGCAGGCAGGCATGGAGCTGGTCTTGGATTTTATCGGAGGTGACAGCTTCTCACACTTCAGTGTTTGGATCACCTCAAGTAGCTGGGCTATGAGGGGAAATGAGCACTGCTCCACTACAAAGTCCAGATTTAGATTGACTGAGCTTGTCCCCGGGCCTGTGGGCTTCTGCTGCTGCCGTACTGCTCCTCCGCCTGACAGAACACCCACCACTGCTGCAAGGGACTGGTGCGATGTGTGGGTTCCTGTGCATCTCTGTGCACCACATACGTGCACTTGCGTGTGTGTGTGTGACTTGGTGGAGCCTACTTTGAAGAGTCAGAGAGAGCGGGGAAAGAGAGCGATGTGTCAAGTTTGGTTAGAATTGAGGGTGGCATCAGAATATGCTTGGCACTAATATGGCACCAGTATCTCTGTCCCTGTTCCTGCTTTCTGTCACTTAGTTGCCATTCTCTTCCCTCTCTTGACAATGTCTTTTTGGATTATCTGATTGGACTTACCACTTGAAGCGTCCCTCATCCCTCTGTGACACTGCCTCCCCCATATGTCTCTCCACTCCTGCCTTGTCTCTGGCCTGCCTCCTTTCCCCTCCTCCTATAATGCACTTCATGTCTATTTAGAAAAGCTGGTGAAAGCCGTATCTATTCTGCTGTCAGAGGATCATTGACAGCACTAATGCCACTTGTCCTTGCCTCATTTGGAAAGAGATGACACTGAGGTACAGCCCTCTGCACTAATCAAGATGTGATGTTAGTTTTTGTGACGTTAACATCACAGCAAACTGACCACAGAGCTTTGGACCAGCCGTCTGCCTGAACAGCACCACCCCTCTGTACAACAGAAAACCACCACAAACATCCTTCAGTTCTATAATGTTATAGTTATGTAGAAAGGGGCCAAAGAAGTAGATGCAAGTATGAGAGCTTAAGTTTGTTTTTCTAATTAACCATTTTAGGTGTAAATGATTGCAGGTTTAGCTATTTAACTTCATCTTTTAGAGCTAATACATACACTTATTATTCTTGTTTCGATATTTAACATAATTACACAATGAAAACACTTTGAAATTACTAATATTTGATCTTTTTAGTCTGTGAAATATATATATATATATATATATATATATATATATATATATATATATATATATATATATATATATATATATATGTACTAGAAAAGAAAACTAATAATTTCAATTTTTACTTGAATACTGTATTAAATATATTATTTTTTTGTAAAATAAATGTACCTTGGACAGCTTTGATAGCAGCTGCTAAAAACTGTGCTCCCTCACTTTTTGCAGCTTAAATGACGTGTCCTTTTAAATTACTTTCCACACTACATCCACACTGAAGAGTGTTATTGTCATCATAAACAGCAGTACTAATTTGTTTTGTTCGCTGATTGGTTTTGAGTGTCTGACCGGCCGGTCACCAGACAGGCTGATCAAGCTCAAAACGTTGCAGTTCTGGTCACAAGTCGATTTCTCTGCTTCGCCAGTCATGAATTTTTACTCCAGAATTGCTGGCATAAAAAGATAATCCAACTGTGATTTACACCTAAACTTTGTTTTATTCTCTTTTTAGGCGTATTCGCCAAGTGTCGCTACATCTACTATGGCAAGCACTCAGAAGGCAACAGATTCATCCGAAACGATCAGCTCTGATGTCCACAGGATGCTCTCGGAGGAGTCACTCTTTTTTTTTTATTTATAAGCACTGGATTTTTTTTTCAATCACCTAATCTATTGCTGGAAAACAAAAGACAAATTTTATTCAAATATGCTGTTGTAGTTATGCATGATGAATACTTTCTTGATCATATTAAATTTTAGAGCCATTGTTTTAGCCTCCTCTCCTGAGCTGAGCCTACTTCTGTTTTCCTGCTTGCAGCTCAGAGTCAGAGATGACACTCCCACTGACATGATTGCCTCTAAGCATCAGCTGCAACACAACTCTCTCTCACACACACACACACGGACCGTCTCCCTGCCTTATTGTCTTACACACAGCGAGCAACAAACATATCCAGGCAATTGCTTCCTTTTCTTTGACACCCATGATGGATCACTTGTCCACAACAGCTTCTAATCAAGGGTGAAGGGGGTGGCGGTCACACACCTGGGCCCTAACATGGACTCATTTTCTTCATTCTCTTATTCTTCCTTTCTCTTTTTTCTCCTGCGCTTGCGCTCACAACTGCTGTTTAAGTTATTAAGATAAGAGGTGAGAGAAACTGGTGAAAGCAGCAATAGCTGAGAATCGGTGTCTTCAGTAACATGCACAGCAGCATTCCAGATTTTGACATTGTTCTAGACAGTGAAATTGTATTTGTGGGAGCTGTAAATAGGTTTCTATTCTTATTGCTGTTTACATGTTACAGAGCATTGTGGGATTACATCCTCCTACACCATTTGATATGTTTGGCCCATCTGGAGCCCTAATTACCTATATGCCCTTCAAAACATGAAGCTTTACTTTTTTTCTTGCCATTAACAGTTCTCTTTTTGGCACCTGCTCTGTTCTCCACTAAATCTGTTGAAATTTCTGCTGGATTCACTGTCAAATTGAAAGATTTGTTATTTTTACCTTTTTTTTTTTTTTTTTTTTTTTTTTTTTTTACAATTTTCACTAAAACAACTTTCCTGAGTGTTAATAGAATCATTAACATAAACCACTGACTATATTCTTATCACACAACATAATTTTTCCATCTGTCCATTTCTGGTAGAAGTTTAGTGAAGTCTGATCAGATTGTTTTACAGTTCTAAATGGCGGCTTGTGAAGACTGATGAGGCTCATTACAATCTTTTTTTCTAACCTGACAATTTAAAACAGCCCAGCTTCTCTCCCAGCAGTAGTTTGCAAGTGTATGGCAATCAGTGACAAAGTAAGTGAGATGGACCACAACAGGTGAAACTCATCAAATGGAGTGTAAAATTTATCTTTGGGATACCTTTCCTAAAAAAGAAAAAAATGTCTGACTGAGATAATACTTTGGTATTGGATTCTCATAATTCATCGAACATTATTGTTCTTAATCTTATTGAGTTTTTTTCCCCACTATGTCTTAGCCTTTGTACTTGCTGTGGTGTTTTCTTTATTTGTACTGAGATATACTGTCAATTATAAATGAGCTGTGAAGACATGCACTGAAGTTTCTAATTGATTGTCCCGCTTATGTGAAAAATGTTCCTATGTGTTTATTATTACTGTTAATCTTGCACACTGTGTTTCTCATACTATGGCTTCAAGGGAACCTTCCAGATGAAGATTTTGAACTAACATTTAATTTCTAACAGCTCATCTAAGAAAAAAAAAATCATTGTTGTGTGATTAAATGGGCTGAACTCAAATGTGGTGAAGTTGTGTTTTTATGTATGTCTACTCCTGGACCGGTTCAATACATTGATACCTAACAGTGAAATATTAGTTTTACATAAATCCAATAAAATGGATAAAACGTTATTTCAGTGTTACTTGTTAATCCAGCTGAAATTTTACGTCATATCATGACTACATTTTAGTGCTGAGAAGAACTAATTTGTGAGAAGATTGAGAGGTTTAATATCTGTGGGGCTTGAAAGCAGTCATGTTTATGTTCAGTACAGCATGTCACTCATCTACAAGCAGATAAAGAAAAGGTCAGAGATAGCCTAATGCAATGTTTGTTCCCAATATATCTCTTTGTTTAGGTCCCTGTTTTTATTAGCTTAAACATTTGTTCCAGTTTCAGAGATGTGTGTATGCGTGTGAGGAAGAGTGAGAGAGTGCCTTCCTGCATGTGTTTATACACTTCACAACTTCCTACAGGATTGTGTGACCACATTCCAGATGACATGCTGCTCAGGAGCCTGGTCACTAGTGCTGGCGCTTCAGAATGACAAGGTTTATTTGTCTGTGTTTTGATATGCTCAGAGGAAACTGAGGCTGACAGCCGGAGGAGGCAGGAAGAGGGGAGCCACAACAAGTCCCCCCCCTCCACAAAACACAAAATGTCATCCTTCCCCTGGCTGCGGCATGCACCCAGCCATCCTGCTGAAAAGAGCAGACATTTAAAACTTTGTGACATGTGTCACAGGCACTGCCATTGAGCCTGTGCCACTGACGGAGCTGGAATTGACAGGCTCCAAGCCACCGGAGCTGGCTGGGGGACACACCGAGTTTGGTGTGTGTCACTTCCCATCCTTGTCAGGGACGCATCCTGAGCTGCCACACCAACACAAACTGCATTACAGGGTGGGTGGGGACTGCCAGAAAGGGTTGACATATGCTTGACATGCGCCTCTGTGCATGTGAAGGGATGAATGGGACGCTCGGCATCACAGACAGTAGATTAATTAAGGTATGAGCCTCAGATCTACCTGTAGGCAATGACCCTCGTGATCCTCGGCTCTATTGCTGCATCTTAGGAACTTTGTGGATGAACAAATGGCACACCACTTCATCACTGCAGATCACTGACATTCTGATACAGTAACCCTGGAGGCTCAACTAGTAGCCTCAGTGTGTGCATATATCCAAATGTGTGCACTTAAATAGATGGTCTAACTTTTAAGCTCATTATTTTCACTTTGTTTGCACAAGTCTTAACTAGCTGAGTGTGTGCAGTTTTATTTATGTTTTACGCATTAGTTCCCTGATTGTGCCAAGCTGAACGTTAATCCTGCACAAACTTCATAATGCTGTTGTGAAATTTAAAGTGGAGCTTAATTAAATGTTACTCATTAAGACCTACAGATAACAGCTGGGGTGCACCAAGAAAATATTATAACCCACCTCTGGTTATCAGTTTTGTAAAGCTCTGATCTGATGTATTCAATTTGAGTAAATTCCAATTTATTCTTATGAACTGTAAATAACAAAGCACTTGTTTCTCCTCGTGGATAAATTCAAAACACAATTGTCCTAGCAGGAAATTGTTTGCCGTACAGTTATTTCTAGGTTTTCTACTTTTAAAAAATTTGCAAAAATCTGAAAAACCTTGTTCAACATTTTCGTAATATATGTAGAATTTTGCAGAAAAAGGTTTATACAATTTACATACATAACATATAACAATAAACAAGCAACAAAACATCACATTTTCTCAAATGGCCTAAAGAAACATAAAATTACTAGATTGTTGGAGATAATCTACATTCTAGTTATAATAAATCAAAGGCAACTCTAAGCAAATTAATGTTGACCTTGATTTAAAGGAACTCGGCGTTTCAGTGCTTGCAGTTTTAAGGAAGTTTAATCCTGAAAAGCAGTGGGGCCTGCAATGAGAGACAAATCACCCCATCAGCAGCGATCAGCCCACAGTCGGATGATTGATTGACATTACTCAAGTTAAAGAAGATAGAAGTAAAAAAAAAAAAAAAAAAAGACATCTTTATGAATGACAACTGTCCATCGTACAGAGGAGCAGCCCTCCTTGCTTAAGCAACATCTTCTTCACTTTCTCGTCCCTATCCACCATCTCTCTCTCTTGCTGACATGCAAACCCTGTCTCTCCTGCACCTGACTGCATTTGGCAGCACGCTGCTGTCTCATTTGATCCAGAGAGGCTTGAGGGGGAGAAGTGGCCCTTATTTCCGGGCCTGGCTGGTCCTCGATGAGTAACATTTGTCATTCAAGGTTGTGCTGTTGTAATTAGCTTGTCAGTGGACACCGGGCTGAGCTGGCTCTTTCTGCTAAGAAATATGGACAGACTGACATGGGACCTGACAGCCAGTCGATAATGTGGCAATTAATGTCATAAATAATTCCACTGCCAATTATATCAAAATGGACCCTGTTCTTTCACAGGGCCTGCTAGTCCCTTATCATTTCTTCTGATAAGGGGGAACACCCATCTTCCTCCACCCTATAATTATTAGGCTTTTTATATGTAAATAGAATCTCACTTCTCTAAGTGTTTATAGAACAGGGGTGCGCAAGTAGCTGGGAACAGACAAGAACAATAAAATGCTAATACAGTGAATTGCAAAGTATTTTTAGACCTTGAAATGTGAATGTATTTCATCAAACTTTCACGTGTAATGCATCATTGTGAAATGGAAGAAAAAGTACTGTTATACATATAAAAACCTGAAAAGTATAGCATTCATGTGTTTAAAATCAAGTGCAACCAACTTCCATCCAAATTGTAATTAGCGGCTGCAGCTGTTCTTTATGTGATTATAGAATGGGGTGCACAAGTAAATACAGCTGTTCTGGGAAGGCCTCAGAGGTTTGAATTTGTAAACAAACGACGTCAAAAGATCAAGGAACATGGCAGATATGTCATGGAGAAAATGATGGAGAAAGTTACAGCGGAGTTTAGGTTGTAAAACAATATCCCAATGTTTGAACATCTCATTCAGCTCTGCTCAATCCTTCATCTGCAAATAGAAAGAGATTGGCAAAACTGTCAGCCTATGAAGACATGACAGTCCCCCCAAGCTGGCACTCAGGGCAGAAAAGCAGCCAGTTGGCAGAAGAATCTGTTAGCCTGACAATTAATAGTCGTGTTCCCCAAATCTGGGGAGCACGACTTGGGAAGCACTCACCAAAAATGTTTGGTCAAATCAAACATTTTGATTTGACCAGAATCAAAATTGGAATGATATCAGCATTGGGAATGATATCACAGATGATGGGAAACTGCACGGAGCTATATGCAGGAGAATCCTGTGTATAAATATACAAACAGAGCTTTATTGGAAATATTTCTTAAAGCAGTCAAAGCCCAGACCTAAATCCAAATAAGAAACTTTGCAGTGTGAATTGGCTTAAGCTAATTTGGAACTTACACAAATAAATCACTCTCTAAATATGCAAATTCGATAGACTTGCCCCCAAAATAGCTGGAGCTGCGGTGAAAGCTAGTACAGCAACGTTTTGAAATACAGGGGCTGACGACAAATGCTCACCACACTTTTCAGATATTTTTTAATTCATTTATTTATTTATTTTACTTAACATAATTTTTCTTCCATTTTGGCTTTAATGTATTTTGTTTATATCATATCCCAATCCAAATAAATGTCTATTCTGATAAATTACTCAGATATTTAAAGCTGGAATAAGACACAATTCTGAAAAAGTCAAGGCACATTATGGGGCCTTGGCCTTCATGTAGCTTCAAGGAAGCTTCATGGAAGACCAGATGTCACTGACATGATCAACAGTGAGGAAGAAAAACTTTAGTTGAAAGTGTGCACAATGAAATGAGAGGTATCGATTTGAGCTGATATTCTAAAGGTTGCAAAAGCTTAACCAGCAGTGAGAATATTGATCCTGACATCAGTTTGTTTGGTGGGAAAAATTATATCCATTCGCTGTCTTCAAGATGCAGGTCAATCAATTACAGCAAGTGAGAATAAATGATGAGTCCAAACCCACATGGGGTTCACTGCATAGTAAATGTGCAGCACATTGGAAGGAAGTAAAAGCAGAAAAAAAGGGAATTTGCCCAGAAATGCGTTATTATCCAGCTCCCCGGCCTGCTTCCATGAGCTCATTTGTCTCCACAAGTGACTCACTCACTGTGAACGGCCCCCATCAGCACGACACTAAACTCTCCCTGTGAAATGTATGAGCAAATAAAGTGAGCTCAACACATGTAAAACCCTCCTAATGCATTGTAAAGCAGCTTTAAACACATCAGATGTATCTTCGGCGTCGGGAAGGTCGCCTGGATAGTAATAGATGGCCTACGCCGAGGAGTCTCAAGGTCGTGTCAAATTCGACTACATAATGCATGATTTCCCGTTACTCACACTGGCACCAATCACACGGTGCACGGCCTTGAGATGAAAATTTTGCAGAGTAAATCAGCCTCCTCAATGGCGTTTCTATTACCCCTCCTTGTGCAGTGACAGAGTAAATGAATAATTCTAAATAATAACACATAGCAACAAATCATATTTATTAGCACATGAGAGAAAAGCAGCAGTGGCTGTGAAATTGTTTTTTGGTTTCTTGTGTTTTTGTTTTTTTTTCATTCCTTCATCTTGCCTGTATGGCTTTAACATCTTTTTTGTTGCTGTTAGTTGTGTTCAGATGTGAAAACATGTCCTTTGTACTTTATGGAGATGAGGGTGTCACTCCTCCACTTGTCACTGTCCTCTTGTTAGATTGTGTGTATAATTATTGTGTCATTCACTGCACGAAAGCTGCTTTCTTTGAATCAGCCAGTTAAATGACCCTGTTAGCATAATTAATTTAAGCATCCTGGGGGGGCGGCAAAGTTCCAGACTCATGAATATTAATTATTGTCAATTTCAGCTCTAAATATTGTAATGAAACACGCTTTTGTTTTTTGTTTGTTTTGAAGTGATATGCTGTTTGTTACATCAATTCTTGATTTTGACCTCCCTCCAGTGCTCCTTTTAACTGATTTATGTAGAAAATGGCGAAATAAATATTTCAGCATACACTTTCATTTGTTTACTTTAACAATCATTGTGCAGAGAAACATTCATTAAATATACAGTTAT